CCCCCCACTACGCGACACCCAACGAATCAGGGATGCCAGAGAGCAGGCGGTTCTGGGGGATGCATCGGGCGCCGCAGCCCAAGGCGCTATCTTGGACGATCTTGTTCCTGTCCTGGCCCCTCCCGATGTTGTCCCTGTTCTAGCCTGAGGTCGGGCATGTCACGTCCCCCTACAGGGGGATTTTAGACGAAAAATCAAAAATAGTCAACATATTATAAAAATGCTCAACAAATCGCCCCCGTACTATTTCTTGATTATTTTGAATATTCACCATGTACATTGACATGCCCGACTTATTTCTAGCCCCGCCCGATCCGCTGGCACAAGGGACAGGGGCACGCGAAAGAACGAGAACCGAGACCGACAGCAACTCCTGCCCGTTTGGGGCAGGGCTCGCCGTCGGTGTCGCCGCGCACGCGGCCCGTTTTTCAAGGAGAATAATCGATCGCCAACAAAAAGGCAGCTGAAGCTTTGGACGACCTCTGCTTCGAGGCATCGTACCACTTCGGGGATCTTCTGACCCGGGTCAATCCAAGAACGGGGCAATCAGGCCTTGCAGAATCCGGCAAAATCCTGCAAGATCCTGCACCCAAACCCAGGTCAATGCGAAAGACCCTACAAAATCCTGCAAGATCCTGCACCCAAGCCCTGGTCAATGCGACCCTGACCCTGCAGGATTCTGCAAGATCGGGCGCTCTGGCTGACCCCCGTTTGCATTGACCCCCGTCTCAAGGCTCCCGATCACTTCTGTCCCTGCTCATGCCGGGCGCGCCAAAAATCCGACAATCTGTTATGATGTGCTTGAGAACGCGGACCTACAATTGGTGCGATGGTGGCAAAAGAGGGGGGGAGGGGGGGCGTGACGTTCACCAGGATGGCTCCGAGAGCGCCCAGAAGGACTCAGCGATGGCCCCGAGATGGTCCAAGAGGCCCTCAACAGGCCCTCGAGACCGTCCCAGGAGACCTCCAAGACACCCAAGATTGCCTCCAAAACGACCCTGCAGCGCCCCAAGAAGGCCCCAACTTGGCCCACCCCCCAGGACGGTCTTCCGACGGCGTCAGACGAGCCAGGACTGCCCAAGACGGCCAAAGAACCTCCCAAGAAGCCTCCAAAGGCCACCGGGAGGCACAAGGAAGCCCCGAAGAAGCCTCCCAGAGGCCCCAAGGAAGCTTCCAGGAGGCTCAAAGAAAGTCTCACAGGACTCCGCGTCCATCCGACCCGCCCGCCCCGCCCGCCCCGCCCCCGTCGTTGCCCCGTGGCGGGCCAGAACTCGGCTCTCCGGCGGCCGTTCGGCTTGATCCGTGCACCTCTGGAGCGCTCCCGGCGTGGCGCAGCTGCTGGAAGGCATCCCGAGGCTGCAAGCCCGCCGAGAACCGACGCAAAGGCCCGGAAAACTCGATCCGCGACCCCGAGAAACCCGAATCCTTTCCGGCGAGCGGGGGGGGGGAATGAGAAGGAGAAGGCCTTCTCAGAAGGCAGCGGGACGTCTCAGACACCCTCGCACCTTCTGAGAAGCTGTGGGTGTCTTCGGGGATGGCAGAACACTTCTCAGAAGGCCAGGGGACTTCCAAGCTTTATGAGAAGGTCCGCACCTTCCCCAAGCATCCGGCTACTCCATTTTGTTTTGAAGCGTGGGGGCGGGAGGTTCGGACCACTTCCCTATATTGCCGGTGCCTCTCGTCTAGAGCTGTTATTTGACGGCCCCGAGGCCCAGCGAGGGCCACCGCCAGAGCCCGAGAACGGCCCCCCAAAAAGAACGCCCACTTCAACTTTTGTTGGTGAGCATCGTTTATCCGATCCCCTCCCCCCACTGGCGTGGCCTGGGCCCCACTGGCTCGGGGATCTTCTGACCCGGGTCAATCCAGACCTGGGTCAGTCGGGCCTTGCAGACTCCTGCAAGATCCTGCAAAATCCTGCACCCAAACCCGGGTCAATGCGAAAGACCCTGCAAAATCCTGCAGGATCCTGCGCCCAAGCCTGGGGCAGTGCGACCCTGGCCCTGCAGGATCCTGCAAGATCGGGCGCTCTGGCTGACCCCCGTTTGCATTGATCCCCCTCCCAAAGCTCCCGGTACGCGACGCGTCGTCGTCGTTGTCGTCGTCGTCGTCGTCGTGGTGATGGTGGTCGTCGTCGTCGTCGGCGGCGTCGTGGTCGTCGTCGACGTCGTCCTCGTCCTCGTCGTCGTCGTCGTCCTCGTCGTCGCCCTTCTGCTGACGCCCCCCGGGCCTCGGGGACCCGCTGCGCGGGCGGCCGCAGCCTCACGATAACCTGCTTGACGCCTCTGCCGATCGTGACGATCGGCCGGAAGCCCCCCGAGAACGGCACCTTCCGGGGCGACGTGAGGCTCCTCCTCCTCCCCCTCCCCCCCCCTCCTCCTCCTCCTCTTCCTCCCCCCCCTCCTCCTCCTGCTCCTCCTCCTCCTCCTTCTCCTCCTCCTCCCACCCCCTCCCCATCCTCCACCTCTCCTCTCTCCTCCTCCTCCCCTCCCTCCTCCTCCTCCTCCTCCTCCTCCTCCTCCCCCTACTCCCCCTCTCCTCCCTCCTCCTCCTCCTCCCCTACTCCTCCTCCTCCTCTCCTCTCTCCTCCTCCTCCTCCTCCTCCCCCTCCTCCCCCTCCTCATCCTCCTCATCCTCCTTCCCCTCCTCCTCCTCCTCCTCCTCCTCCTCCTCCTCCTCCTCCTCCTCCTCCTCCTCTTCCTCCTGCGCCCACCCTGCGCTCGGGTGCTTCGCTTGACAGCGCCCCGGATTGACCCGAGGGGGGACTCGGGTTGGCCCGACGGGGCCATCAATGAACATCACGAGACCCAGTCTGAAATTTGACGCGAGCTCCCGCTGCAGACATCCCACGAAACCTGGACCGTCAGAATCCAAGACGCGCGCGCTCGTCAAAGCACGTCGGCAAAAACCCGAGCTCCGGCTTACTTTTAGGTAGGGCATGTCCTCCTACAGGCGGATGTTGGACGAAAGCAAATCCCCCCAACTATGCAACAAAAATGCAAGAATGATCCAAAAACGTCCCCTGCCGTTGTTTTAACTATGTTTGAATATTCCTTCTGTAGAGGGGCAGCCCCGGCTTCAGCTTACTTACTCGAGTCTCACGTTTCCCCGGACCTTCACGAAGGCCAAGCCGAGCTTCGGGGGCGGCGACTGCGTGCCGTGGTAGTGCATGGTGATCGAGGCCGCCTCTGGAGGAGCAGACAGCGGCATGAACATACTTTGATGGACGAATTTTCCACCACCACCACGAGAGGTCGAAGGGGGGAAGGAGGTGGAGGACGACAGGCCCATCATACTTTCTCGGATGGCCGCGCGGATTTCCGGGATCGGCGCTGGACCCACCTCCATGGCTTCCGGAGCACGCCTGGTGGGCCCAGCGCAGATCTGCGAAATCCCAGTGGGCCTCATGGTGGGCCTGTTTTCCACCACCACCATTAGTTGGAGGGGGGAAGGAGGAGGAGAACGAGGAGGAGGACGAAGAGGAGGAGGAAGAGGACGAGGAGGAGGGAAGACCCCTCCCGCTCCAAATCATGGTGGTGGTAATGCAGAACGGGCCCATCACCTCATGCTGTTTTTGTTTCTCGAGCCTCGACGTCGAACTCGCAGCCGAAGGTGTCGCCCTTCAGGCCGGACTGCTCCAAGAACTCCTTTCGGGAGAAAGGCGAAGATGAGGCACAGGAAGGTGAGGGCGAAATCAAAGACGATGTAGAGAAGGGTGAGGAGGACACAGGAAGCTCTGCGGAGGTGGCGGAGGAGGAGGCGGCGGAGGTCAGGCGGGGCTCTGCCCCAAGTGACGTGGTCTTTTTAGATGACCGCCTCTCTGCCATGCTGCTAAAACTCCTGGGGCCGCAGCAGGCTTAACGTTATGTGTCGGTCCCACGCTAACGCGGATATCTGTGGATTTGGCGCGTGAGCGCCAGATCCACGGATCAAGGGGACGTAAGACCTGGGTACAGGGGACTCGGAAATCCCCGACGAGGTCGTCAAAAAAATGACGAGGCCGAGCCTGCATTTTGACGAGGCCTCCCGCTGCAGACATCCCACGAAACTCCTCCTCGTCAAAATCCGAGGCGCGGTCGTCAAAAAACGATGGCGAGCCCGAGTCCTGGCAAGCCCGGGTCTTACGCTCCCCCGAACGGATCGCGGAAAGTACCCCTCGAAACGTGCAGCCCCTACGGATATCTGGCGACGGAGGACGCCGACTCTGTGTGTGGGAGCGGGGCCCGCCGCGGATCCGCGCGCGTTTTGGTCGCTCGTTGCGTGTTTCCTCGATCCTTGTGAGGGAACACGACGCTCTCGTTGTCCCCCGCGAGCTCGAGCCCGCACATCTCCATGCCCCAGCTGTTCTCCTGAACGAAGGATTGCAAAGAAACGAAGGATTGCAAAGAAACGAAGGATTGCAAAAAAACGAAGGATTGCAATCCTTCGTTTTTTTGCAATCCTTCGTTCTCCTGAGGGGCAACGATAGGGACGACCGGCTCATGGGGGGAAACGTCCACGTGGAATCGGCGAAGCATCGCCGACCGATCGGCGGTGGGCCCCGGATGTCCAAACGGAACGTTCCTGGACGGGGTGCGCTAGGAAGACCCCCCGATCGGCGATCACTCGCGAGTCAAGGTCGATGCACCCCCCTGGGCTCCCCCCCCGCCCTAAAATAGGCCCCTGGTTTTCGGCTCATGGTTCGGCTCTCAGGCGGCCGCTCGGCTTCAGCCGGGCACCCATGGAACGCCCTCGGCGAGGCGCAGCCGCTGGAAGGCACCCCGAGGCTGGAAACCCGCCCGGTGGCGACAAGAACGCAGGGAAACCTCGAGCCTCGGAAACTCGAAGAGTTCTCCCCTGACGCTGGCCCCAAAAAATCCCTCACTGCACCTATCCACCCACAGCGTTGCCCCTGCTCTCCATGCCCACCCGGTAGCCCCGGTAGATGCTGCTGCCCTCGGGCAGCTTCCCGTCACAGCGCGAGTCGCCGACGCCCAGGGAGCAGATGAAGAACCTCGAGTTCGTCAGCTCGACGATCTCGACCTCGTAGTACCACCTGGAAACGGCCCTGGAAACGACAAGGCCGTTTCGTGTTACGGGTTCCTTTTTGCCGTTTGCGTGCAGGTTCCGTCGCCGTTTTTGTTGCCAAATCCGTCGCCATTTGTGTTCCCGGTTCTGGCTCCAATTTCAATCCTGGAGCCGATTTTTTGGCCGATTCCGGCAACATTTATTTTTTCCACGTTCGAAAGACATGTTTTCGAAAACGGCGAAGAAACGGCCCTACCGTGTGCGGGGCCCACTAAGACGCCGTTTCCGGTAAGCGGGGGAAGATGCGAGGAAGAGAAGAATACCAAACTGCAGAAACAAAACTTCCGGAGCTCCGCGTGGACATCTTGGATCGGCGCCGAGCCCCCTGGTAGCGCCTCAATCGCCGCCGCTGGCGCGCTCCCCATGCCAGGGAAGGTGTTCAAGCGCCACTCCAAGAAAGCCGCGCGGACCTCCGAACATGTACGTTTCTGCAGTTATTGGAAAGGGGGGGGCGCCAGGATCAGGGGTAGGATCACCCTCGCACCACCTGACGGCGGTGCGCAGTAGGCGCAAGGCTGGGGTTTACATCTCATATCCACCGCCTGGGAACCGATGTCCTGAGATCCCAGCGGGCGGTGGGCATGGATGTGTTGGGCCTCTTGGGCCGTCTGGAAGCCATCTTGAGCCCGCTTGGAGCGCTCTTGGACCGTCTTCGGGGCTCATTCGGCTGTCTTGGAGACATCTTGGGTGATCTTGAGGCCACCTGGGCGGAACAAACTGCAAACATTATCCCCGACCCCGAAAGGCGTGTTAGGAATCGCGCCAAGACCCCCGTCCTGGACCCACCCACCCAATTTCGGCTAACGCATGTGCGGAACATCTCCCGCATCCGCTCTTTCCGTCATGCTCCTCTGCTGTCTGATAAGGTTCCTTGAACGTTTTTGGGGCCCAGATACTCCCCTGCTCGCACGCGCCTTTCGAAACTCTGCAGTGCACTCTTGCTGGTCTCCACATGACCAAGATGACTTCCAAGACAGCCAAGATGACACAAAGACGGCCCAAGACCACTCAAGAGGCTCCCAAGACGGTCGCAAGACAGCCCAAGAGGCCTGCAAGACGGCCAAAGAGTCCGAGAGGGCTCCAAGAGGCCCTTGCGGAGAGCCCGAGGATGAAAAAATAATTGATGTTCCTTTGGTCGTTGACGGATTCTAGAGTTCTCGCATGTTCGGGTTTGCGACCACCCAAGATGGCCCAAGAGGCCTCCAAGAGGCCCCGAGTCGGTTCAAGAGGCCCCAAAGGGCCCCCCCAAAAGGCCACAGGAGGCCCACAAGAGAGACCAAGAGACCCCCAAGAGGCGCCCAGGAAGTCCCAAAAGGCCTACCAGAGGCCTGGCAGGCTCTCCCAGAGGCCCCAAGGAGCCGCCAGGGGGCGGCCCCCAAGACGCCCCAAGATTGAGCAGGGACCGACCGTCCCGGCATTCCTATAGGCCTACCACGAAATGTCCGTAGAGTAGGGCTATAGGCGAGCCAGGACGCTTCACCACTGCTTGACAAGAGGCCTCTACGAGACGTCGAGAGTCATCCAAAGGGACTCCGAGAGGCATACACGAAGCCTCTGGCCCACCGAGGCTTCCCGAGTTCTCTAAATGATGCCACGCTCCCCCGAGAAGGGCAGCTGCCCTAGACACTGTTCCTGGATGGACTGTGAGGATAAGCGAGGCGTCACGAGTACAAACTCCTTCCTGCTACGAGTACAAACTCCTTCCTGCTACGTTATTGATGTATTGGAACATCACATTTCCCTTCAGGCACGGTGGCGGGGTTTGCCGCAGGCAGCTGGATATATTATCTCAACCTTGGAGGTGAGGGCGGGGCGAGAGGGGGCTGTATCAATTAACATCGGATCGGGGAATTAGACCGAATCGGAATGTGCGTCGGACCGGGCTGCATCGGCATGGAGTCGGCATCGGATCGCATCGGCCGCGCCAGGATGCACAACAATGGCATGCAAACATCGACCTGCAACTGGTCGGCGGAATGTCGGAATCAGATCGGATCGAGCCGGCCGATATTGAAGGGGCCCTGGGACACACAAATAAACACACACATAACAGGATTCCCCATGTTCTCCGACATGGTATGGGCTCCTGTCTCCCCCCCCTTCCCATCTCTTCCCGTACTTTCCCGGGGATCGACGATAAATTGTGTCCGTGTGTTTTTTCCCCGCCTGAGACATCGATATCGAATCGGATGGGTCGGATCGACATGGACCCTGGGAGGGGGGGGGCTCCTTCAGGAAGGCAGCGGGCCTCTCTTCGGAGAGGGAAGAGGACGTGGCAGGGCCATCCCGTCTCGGAGGTCCGCGTGCCTCCTGCCTCCTCCTCCTCCTCCTCCTCCTCCTCCTCCTCCTCCCCGCCCGAGCCTGGGTGGGAAGGTTTCCTAGGTCGGCGCTGAACTCACCATCAGGCGCCAGGGGTTTGGGTGACCCCAAAAGGGGGTCCCGCTGAAAGGGGGGGGTGCAATAGATTTCGGGCACTTGCATTGCAAGTGTATTGCGCCAGAGAATGTGTATTGCATTATATTGCGAGGATTTGCGCCCCTGGATGTATTGCACGCCCCAAGTGCATCGCAATTCCACAAATCTATTGCACCAATCAATTGCACCACCCCCCGGAACCCCCTTTTGGGTCAACTCGAAGGGGGGGCTTCCAGCGCCGGCTTAAGAAGGCCGCGCGGACCTCCAGAAGAATACGTCTACGGTGTTTGCTTTTGTTGATGGTTCGAGGCGTCCAGGGGAGAGGGGGCCCTCTGCGTCTACAGGAGGGCCTGTCGGGAGGCTTCTGGGAAGGTGACCTATGGTAACGTTGCGGCAGGAGCTCGACCACAAGAAGCCTACCAAGAAGAAACCCAACCCTGAGACCCCAGGACGTCCCTCGATGTTTGGCGTTGAATCGTCACGCTGTCCTTTCCATTGCAAAAGCATCGAAACCCAAGGCACCCTGGAGGCAAGCAGGGTGTTTCTTGGAATGGGCTCCCACTGTCGGAAACTGTCCTATGCCAACAGTTTCCCAGACAGGGAACGGAAGCTTCTAGCAAGACTTGTCAAAGGAGGCGAGGGTCTCTCTGAGGCCCCGCTGCTTTCTTCAGAGGCCGCCCCCTCGCGCTATGGGGCCCCTTTCTTGTGCGCGACGCCGATCCTGCCAGTGGTGACGAGCATGCTCGACAGTATGAACGGCTGGTCCTTGAAGAGGAAGCCCTCGAAGCTGATGGAGCACTCGTCTGGAAAGGGGGAACAATCGACATGCACACCAACCCTCAAAGGTCCGTGCGGACTTCTCGGGTCGATTCGCGGGGTCTGGCGCCGGCCCAAAAACTCCGCGTGAACCTCCGACAGTTCAAAAGTATATGTTTTTCGCTCTTCGATCGTCTCCGTTCGATGGTTTCACGTACCAGTTCTGCTTGATGCCGAAGATGTTCGTGTCCGCACCCTCAACCTTCACGAACTCGCCGACGCATTCCCTGCCCTCCTTGTCGCGAAGATCCGCGTCCAGCTGCAGGCTGATGTACTTGTGCAAGGTGATGTGCACCCCGAGCCCAGGAGGCCTGCAGCGGAAGCGCTGGTCGCCCCAGTTGACGTACACCTTGGCCCCGCACTCCACAGTAACGACGGGAACGGCGAATGGCCTGCTCGCCAGATCCATTGCATGGAAGTGGACCTTGGACTCCTCTGGAAGCAGGAAGCAGCTGCTCACCATCGCTCGTACGCCCATTCCCCGTGCATTGTTCGATGTCGTGCGCGTTTTTAAGCTGCTCGATGACCCTGGATGTTCCTGGATGTTCCTGGATGTTATTCACCGAGGACAGGACGCACACGCTTGAGCGATGCCAAGTTGGAAATGCGCGCGGACTCTCTGGACCGGCGCTGGACCCCCGCCCGGGCGCGTGGAGCGCTGCGCCGCCAGGGGGGCCCTGCACCGATCCAAGAAGAATCCGCGCGGACCTCTGCCAGTCCGTCTCGGCGGCGAGCGACGGGGGGAAGTGAGAGGGAGAAGGCCTTCTCAGAGGGCTCGGAAGTCCCCGGGCATTCTCAAAGTTTCCTCAGCCTGCCCCCCAAAAGCAAGCAACAAACTCCTCACAAAGGCGCGAGGGCTTCGGAGAAGTTCTACCGCTTTCTGAGAAGGCCTTCTTCTTCTCATTTCCCCCCTTCCCTCGCCGCCGATTGACGGAGGAGGGCCAATTGGAACGACGGCGGCTATCACGCCAAGCCCGAACCCGTGCAAAATCGGTTCCTGGAACCCTCCTGATGCTCACGCCGAGTTTTCTGTTGCTTCCGTTCTGCTCACGCCCACCGTTGTCTCGACTGGTCCTTCTTCGAGCTTATGCTCACGCCGACTTTTCCTCCTCGGTCCTCCCCGTTGGTGAAGACCCGCAGCGTGTTGTTCGCGGCATCGACGAGCAGCCCCACCACGGTGCCGCACGTCCACTCGCGGCCCTCGAAATTCAGCGGCTCCCCAGCATGCACCGTCTTCGGCTTGCGGCCGAAGCCGCACACGCCCCAGGAGAATTCGTCCTCTGAGACCCGTTCAACTGGTCTCCAGCATCACTGGCGTGGCCTCGGCATCACTGGCAATTTTGTCCCCCAAGGTGTGATCTATGCTGTTCCGTTCGGGTGTCGTGGGACCTGTCCCCACCCCGGGGGGGGTGGGGGGGGCTGATGGGGCTGAGATATCATGGCGGCTCATTGGGGCTGGGGATAGGTTTAAGTCGGGCATGTCCCCCTGCAGGCGGATTTTGGGCGCAAAATTGAAAAATGGTCCAGAACTGCAAAAAACAAGTACTTCAAAACATCGTCCCTCTACTGTGTTTGGAATGTTTGTGAATATTCCTCCTGTAGAAGGACACGCCCCACTTAAGGAGAGGTGTGACGATGCCGATCCTCCCCGACGCGGTGCACCTTCTCGGACTCGGCGAAGGAACCGGTGGCGATCCCCACCGAGCACGTGGCGCCCGGCGGGGCCTCCATGATGGTCACCTCGAAGAAGATGGGCAGCTTGTCCTCGCGAGCAGCAGCAGTGAAATAATAACACGAACACATAAACATAAACGTTTGGCGCTCCGCGCGGATGTCTAATATCCGCGAGGCCCCCCTCCCTGGCGCGCGGAGCGCGCCAAGGGCGCCGCCGGAGGCGCCGCCGGGGGGTGCCCAGCGCGGATCCAAGAAATCCGCGCGGAGCACCAACAGTTTATATGTATGTAGTTGTTGGTTCTTCTTCTTCGAGAGCAGCAGTCGGCGGCGCGCCATGGAGCCAAGGCAGAGTGGGCGGGCCTTCTCAGAAGTCTCAGAAGGCCACCGGTCTGCTCAGAAGCTCTCCGCGCCTTCTCCGGAGCCACGGAGGGCCTCGCAGGCGGCCATAGAGGGCTCCTGAGAAGCCCCACCGCCCGCCGAGAAGGCGCGCCCACGCTCACAGATCCCACCAGCTTACTCTGGGTTTCTTAATAATCGTGGGGGGGTACCCCCCCGACGGGGATCAACCTCGCCTCGTCGTGGCGCCGCGACGGTGGTCGGAGCATCTTCGGCGCGCGCTGGCTGCCCGCGACGGGGGTCGATATGGGACTGTCTGTGGGGGTGACGCCCTCCCGACGCTTATCAAGAAACTCGGAGTACGAAGCTCCGTCGAATTACGGAGCTCACCTTGGCTCCGACGACAGGGGGAGGAGGGAGTGCAGTGAGCGGCGAGGTGGGGAGAGAAACGGTGGATGAGGAGGAGGGGAAGGCGAAGAGGAGCTGAGTGGGAGGAGGAGGAGGAGGAGGAGGAGAATGAGGAGGCGGAGGAGGAGGAGGAGGACGACGACGGAAGGTCTGGGAACCAAGGCGCGATCCCATGTATACGCGAACCCCGTGGAGACTAGTACGCTCCGCGTGGGGCCTCCGCGCAGAAGCGCCCTGTGAGTCTGCGGGGTCGCGGCAGAGGGGTCCAGACTGCGAGGCCGACGAGATTGACTCATGTCCGATGGAAGAATACGTGTTCCTATTCGACGCTTCGACTCTGGGGTTAGGTCGCTCATGTCCCCCTACAGGCGGGTTTTGGACAACAAAATTAAAAAAAAGTCAACAAACATTCAAAAAGTGCGAAAATACTAAACAGATAGTCCCTAGACTATTTTTTGCCTATTTTTGAATACTCCTCCTGTAGAGGGATACGCTCCACTTAACATTGGGGGCATCTGGCCACAGCGCCTCCCGATGAGGAGCCTGGGCCACCCCCGGCGTCGCGCAGAGCCTGTTGGCTGGATCGCCCCGGAGACCCGCGCGACGCATTCAGACGCACGACATGGGTACGGAGAAACTGGGCTCAGGTCGGGCCTGTCCCCCTACAGGGGGATTTTGGGCGAAGCATAGAAAGGTACAAAAAAAACAAAACACACCCAAAGTGTTCAACCATAAAAAAAGAATAAGAGTCCCTGGACTATGTTTTGCGTGCTTTTGAACCTACCTCCTGAAAAGGGACAGGCCCGACCGAAAACTGGGCGCGATGCCCGACAACAACTGTTGTCCAAAACCACCGGCGGCCGCTGTAGGGACAACGCCCACGGCGACGCCGACAGCGAATCCTGCTCAGAATGGGAGAGAATGAGGAGGAGGAGGAGGAGAAGGAAGAGGAGGAGGAGGAGGAGGACGAGGAGGAGGAGGAGGGGGAGGAGGAGGAGGAGGAGGAGGAGGAGGAGGAGGAGGAGGAGGAGGAGCGAGGAGGAGCGAGGAGGAGCGAGGAGGAGGAGGAGGAGGAGGAGGAGGAGGGAGGAGGAGGAGGAGGAGGAGGCGTTTCGAGATAGAGCAGAAGGGGGGGGCGCCTGGCTCGGGACCTCTGCTTCATGCGTCGGTTTGCAACACCCACGGCGGAGACTCCACCTACTTGAAACAAGCGCCAAAAACATCCAAGACCATTTGTTTTTTTTGTTGGGGGGGAGGGGTTGCGAGGGCACGCGCCGATTGGCAAAGCAATACATAGGAAAACGCATCAGCAGAAGTCCAATGGCATCGGATAATATGATGCTTGTTCGATTTACCCCAGCAGATGTCTCGTGGCATCGATCCCCAGACCTTCGCCCAGGCCCATCTTGGGCAAATTCTCAGCCTGGACAGATGTTTGACGGTCCGGGGGCCAGAAAAAGGCCCCGGACGCCGAAAACAGCGAAGAACAGACCTGTATCTGTCCTTCAGCACCACCCCCATCGGCGCCAGCGTGGCCACGCCGAACACGTCGCAGGATACCACGCGGCCGCCGTGGAAGCACACGGAGTAGCCGCAGACTACCTGCAGGTCGCCGGGCTTGCTCACGCTGTGGCACAGCAGCGCCCCCAGGCCGCGCGAGGCCTTCTTCACGACCACCTGGTGCTTCCTCTTCTCGATGGGCAGAAGAGCAACAAAACCACCACGGGCAAAAGCTTTCGGAGGGCTGCAGAACATTCCTTGTGTTTTGCCATCAGCGGCTATTCCTCAGTGCGTGTGGTTTGGAGAACAGCCCGAGCGAGACGCCTCGGCCTGTCCTCCTCGGTCGGCGCTGGGCCCCCTCCTCCAATCAAAGAATACATCGGGAGGGCTCTCCGCTCAAGGAACCAGAGAGCAGACCGGGCGCAGAGCACAGCCGAATACCCGACCTGCTCAAAACGAGCGATGTGGCAACTTCTGGTCTGAGTGTCCAAGGCTTTGCTAAGAATGTCAGGGAGGGGAATGGGGGGAACGTCAGGGCGAGAGTCTGGCCCAGGGAGGGGATCCTTGAAGAAGAAAACAAAGCACATAAACACAAACTTTTGGCGATCCGCGCGGACTTCTTAGATCCGCACTGGGCGCCAGGGGCGGCGCTGGAGGCACCGTCAGGGGGGGCCCAGGCGCGGATGCAAAACATCCGCGCGGAAAGCCAAAAGCTTATGTTAATGTATTTGTTTTTCCTTCGGGAGCGGCCAAGAGGGGGGTGTCCAAGAGGGGGGGGGTGCAAATCATGACCGGCGGCATGTGCGCGGCCCAGCGGGGGGGCCAGGGACGTAATGAAATGAGAAGAAGCGCCATGAGATCTGGGGAAATATCATGGCCCCCGCCATGATATCCACCCCCCCCTAGTCAGCACCCCCCTCTTTTCCGCCCCCGATTCCTTCGAGACCAACGGGCTGGAGTCGGCGCTGCATCGCCGACAGATCGGAAGAATAGTCCTCCGCTGGCGGCGCCGAGCGCTCCTGGGCAGGCGGGGCCGCCGGGCCCCGTCGGCGACACGCCCCCTCCTGCGGTAGCCTGCCTCCACCCTGCGCTGCCCCCGACATGCCTGCCGGCCAGAAGAGGTAAGTAAACGCACGAAGCAGGAAAGCGGAAAGCAGGATCGCTGGGGGAACGGACGATAAGGACGATAAATCAGAGCCCCGAATCATCAGGGGTAACTCGGGTCAGGGATAACTCGGGTTCGTTTTTCGGGAATCCAAACCCGAGTTATCCCGGACCCGAGTTACCCCGGATAACTCGGGCGTCCAGAGCCCCGAATCATCCGGGGTAACTCGGGTCAGGGCTAACTCGGGTTCCTTTTTCGGGAATCCAAACCCGAGTTACCCCGGACCCGAGTTACCCCGGATAACTCGGGCGCCCAAATAAAAGAAACAGTTTCCAGAGGCTGAATTCTACTAGTCGGCCCCACTCATTCGTTTTGGGGTCCCCGGGGCGGGGGGTGGGTCGGTGGGGCATTTTCTTAATCGTTTACCCCATTAGCTTGGGCTCAGGTCGTCCCAGATTTTTTTCCCGCAGCAAGATAGAAGCCTCCTAGATGGGGCCGGAGTAGATGGGGTCAGAGGATCGCGTCGCATCGCCGATACATCGGCAATGCATCGGCGATGGCCATGCACCGGCGGAACATCATCGACATCGGCAATGCATCGGCGACGTCGACGTGGAGCACATGGGGCTGCACATCGAGCCGCATCGCCGATGCTTCGGCGATGCGGTACGATCCTCATACCCCATCTACCCCAACCCCATCTAGGAGGCTTAGACAAGAACATGGCGGTTCTTGAAATATTGGACGCCCGAACTATCCGGGATAACTGCTGTCCGGGGTAACTCCGGTTTGGGAGCCCGAGGCGCGAATCTGAATATATTCCTGACCGCCTCCAGCCCTGATGATTCGGGAGGATTGGACTCCCGAATTATCAAGGATAAGTGCGGTCCGGGGTAACTCCGGCTTGGTCCCCCGGGGCGCGAATCTGTAGCTATCCCTGACCGCCCCCGACCTAAAATACATTGGGAACTGGGAGTCCAGAAATGCAGTGAAAACGTATGTTAAGATCGGGTGGTAAGGGCGCAAGACCATTGGAAGCCGAAGTTGGGAGTTGCTCGGCGGGGGGCGACAAAAACCCCAGCGGAAGCGGCACAGGACGGGCTGCAGAGGCAAGGGCACAAGGGTACCAAAGGAATGGCGCGCGGCCTTACTGTGCGCGTTGACTATACTTTCAACGACTGGCGTGTAGCCTTAAGTCGGGCATGCCCCCCTACAGGCGGATTTTGGACCAAAAATTAAAAATAAGCAAAAAAGGCGCCCAAATCATCAATTGTAGTAGAAACATCGTCCCCGTACTACTTCATGCTATTTTTGAGCATTCCTCCTGTAGAGGGACGTGCCCGACTTACGTGGAGCCCTGGCGGCGCCAAGGCGCGGAGCCAACGCCACGAGAGGGTGAGCGATGGATGGACCAGGGCATCCAGCGCCGACCCACGGCACCGGCGCGGGCCCCCGAAGGCTCATGCTCGTGCCGGGCTTCTCGCTCTGCCGATAGAGGACGGGGCACTCTGGGTCATTGCGGAGGTCACCTGGGCGACGATCCAAAAGGGGGCCCTTCCAGAGGGCAGAAGAGCCACCCCACATAAGAAGAACGCGGACCAGCGGAGCAGCTTAGCAAACGCACGCGACGAAGGAACCGAGAAGGGCAGGGCCTTCCAGTAAACGCCCAGGGCCGTTTGGTGAACGCCAATTGTCGGGGTGGGGGTGGATTTTCCTCCCTTGCCTTGCGCGGGATGACGTAGCGACCACACGCGGTGGGGCTTACGCGGGCCGCCCGCGCGGCACGCCACATGGGAAGCGAGGGCGCTCAGTCCCCGTCCCGCCCGGCGCGCCGCCGAACTGCGGGGGTCACCTTGTCTCCGACGAAGGCCTTCCTCGCAGCACTGCTGCTGGCCTCCACCAGCAGCCGAACGCGGTCGGCGAGAGACGTCCCGCCGATGCCGAGGGTGCTGAGGAACTCCTCTAGTAGGGGATCGACTACAGAATTGACTTACCCCGATATTGGAATGACAGTCGAATCTTCTGGAGAAAACGCGCAACATGCTCGTAGATGTACGGACATTCTACGTGTTTGTGTCCTTCGACTCGACAACAAGTGTGGGATAATTCCAGGTG